CACTTTTTTTCTTGTTTCTTTTTTTGTCTTTAATATTAAAAAAAAATTTATTTTGATAACAATTTGCAATTTAAAATTGATTTTTTAAGCTTCTAGATCTTTCTACATAGCCAGTTGCTAAAAAAATTCAAAAAAACCAACACCCAGCCCAGAAGTTATAAAATTTTTGTTGATTTCTTTCATAATGACTTTGCAAAAAAAAAAAAAAATATACAAGAAAAATATTTGGATTTTTTTTTTTTTTAATTTTTTGTATTCGAAGTGCGAGACTATGCCAAGAAATTTAAAGAATTGAAAAAAAAATTCAAAATAAAAACAAAGAATTGATTATTAAAAAAAATTTTTTTTTTCAATTTAAAATTAAAAAAAACAAAAAAAAAAAAATTATTGATTAATTCATTAATTTCGATTGTAACTGTAATTTTTATCTTAATGAGCGTATAACGTCAAATTTTTTTGTTATTATTAGTTTTTTTTTTCGGAAGTAAATATAATAACAAATGATAATAACTGTTAATTACGACAATATTATTTTACTTAAAATGCTTGTATATATCGTAATCAATAATCATTAATCATTCTATATGGGTGGCTTGGCTTGGTTTGGCTTATTACGATATTTGTTTTTTTTTTTTGTAAAACATATAGAAGGTGCTGTTATATTAATGACCTAGATTATTCGAAAAAACAAATTGGCAATTGTACTTATTAATTGCATTACAGTTATTTTAAAATAGAATTCAATTTTGAAAATGAAATTGTACTAGGGAATTCAATTGAAAAATTAGGTCAGTTTTTTCGTTTTTCTACTAATTCATAGATGTCGTCAAATAGAAAGTGAAGTGAAAATTGTGTTTTTTTCATGCCAAATCTGTTAATTAATAATACGGTCTACGTTATGCTATCGGTCAAATATTTCCGAAATATACCTTAAAGGCTGCAAGTGACATTGCCGGAAAAGATCTTTTACAAAAATCGTCGCTAATGTTGACATTATTGTATTGCATAATAATCTCGTATGTCAAAAATAACCCTTGATGAAAGCGCCATGATATATGCAATTTTATTTTTTTTGAAAATTTTATTTCCCCTTCTTTTATAAACTTTAATTTTGGACCCGAAGGCATGTTAATCAATGATTTCAATATGGGAGCAAAAATTTTATGTAGGTCTTTATGATCTACATAGGCTTTACTTCTATATTATTAAAGTAAATTAATTGCTTACACAATTAGTATTTAATTTAAAAATTTTGTTCAGTTTTTTCAATAATTAATAATTTTTTCTTTGTTTCTTTTCAGGTACGTTGGTCTTCCGTTACATTTACTTATTTTTGGACAACTTAAATTTTTAAATTGATTGTAGGTAATTGAGTACATTTTTAATTTTAATTTTAATTTTAAAAAAAATCAAAAATACCTACCATTTACTTAAAAAAGTACTTGAAAAATTCACAATTAACATTCAGTATTCTAAGTTAGACAGCGAGAATACAATATGAATGTCAAAGTGAAAATTAAGTAGGAATTATCAAAATAAAAATTTTCTCATTGTTTTTTTTGCCCATGAAATATAACATATAAAATTTTATGATCAAAATTCTGACATTTCGTTTTTCGTAATTCGATTCCTTTCAATGCCCAACAAAATAATCACTTAACAATATCTACATTATTATAATATATTTGCATTACTTTACATGAATAACATTTATAAAATTGTTAAGATCTTAGATTATAGATTAGGTATATATAAATTCTTGAGCTATTTTCAAGTTAATCATTTAAAATTAATTTATTTAATGGAGCCGAATGCATCATACATACGTTAATGGAATTTTTATAAAATTTATAATAAACAAATTAAATTTGAAACAATTACAATTTAAATCACGTATTAGGGTTATAATTTGCAGAATTAAAACTTGTTAAAATTAAAAATTCCCTTTAAAAAAAAAAAATTAAAATAAATTAATTGTAAAATTGTTAAAGTACTTTGATATTAATTGCACATGGTGTATAAAAGTGACGTAATTTATTGTGTTGATTAACTGTTCAAATTTAAAATTATATGAAAAAAAAAATTGTGAATAAGATACTAATTTGTATCGAAAATTGATGCAATATAGTGAATTATTGATGTTTGCACTCGTTCAATTATTAAGTTAATTTATTCTTTGGAATAGAGATAAAATAGATCATGTGAGACTTCAAATATTGCACTAGTTGTATAAATAATCTAAATTCAAAAAATATGATAATCGAGCGCAAGGTGTGCTGTTTAGTTTGACAAAAAATATTGTACAAGATTATAAAAATGTCCTTTAGGCGAGACGGAAAAGTAACAAACGTAGTGTCAAAGTATATGCTAAGGTTTGTGTAATATTGCCACAATAACATCACTGTCTCTACATGATTACTTTTGCATATGTAATACAGTAAACTCCGGTTAGCTGCATGAAAAAAATTCTTTTAAACGCATTTCCTTAACAGCACAATTCCTATTTAGTGCGACGAATTTTGAACATTCGAATTTGAATAGAATAAGAATTTCGATATACATAGGCACATATTTCTCTATTATTATAATTTTGTTTAACAGCTCATATAAAGCAGTTAAGCAGCTAAAATAATTCTCTTAATTGCTTTAATTTGACATAGCTGCCAAATATTTAGCACCGAATAGGCGAAACAATTACCTGGGCTTTACTGTAATAAAAAAAATCATACCTTCTTTACTTACAATGTTTCAAAAATTCTCCGCTTCCTTATTGCCATTCATTCTATATGAAATTTTAATTGTGATTTATTTTTTATAGATTCTAAAGTTTTTATTACATAAAATTAGTACTCGTATTATTGAAAGTATATTTGTTATTTCAAAATATAATAACAATAAAATTTAAGATCTTTAACTTTGTTTATAATTTAAATTCATCAATTTATTTATTACATATTATTTTTTCTTTTTTTTTTTTACATCTTAAATCTTATTTTATTTGAATTAATAGACTGTACTTGAATACGAAATTAAAATAGAAAATTGAATTAATTATTTAATTTCATTGACATATGACGACGATGTAGATTGATAAACTCATCATTACAAATTTATTTGTATTAAAATTGCAAAAACAAAAACTTGTCAATTATAAATTTATTTTTTTGCACTTTATATACAAATTATATAAGAATAATTTATTGATTGTGATTTATGACATGTTTGTAGATATGAGAACAGAGTTGGATTAAGGTGTGTCAAGTTTAAATTTAGAGGAAATTAATATATGTGCAATTTATGTGCAATTTAATTAAATTAAAATTAAAACATTAATACTTACAAAATTTTAAAAATAAAAAGTATACCATAGGCTTTACATTGTGTGTGACCGTTGCGTCCCTGTTTGAATATGCTGGTGCATTCAAATATTATTAAATAATAAGTTCAACTAAAGAACTTTATTAAATTTTAATAATATATTATTTAATATTAAATTAATAATATATTTTTATGATACTGTTTACGAAAACTTTTAATTTTTTATTTTAACCCTTTCACTCCTAGATTACAATTTACGCAAACAAACGCTTCCCAGGGTTTGAGATTTTGACTATTATATCAAAGTATTTCTTAATATTTATGAGATTACCTTCGAATTTCTCTTTTCTAAATGGCACACTTAAGAATACCTGAGAATTCTTTTAAATAAATATATGTTAATTGCTTTAATAATGTGACTCTAAGGGAACAATAGGGTTAAAACCATTTCCATAATTATTGTAGCTTTGTTGCAAATATAGAACACTTTGACTCTATTTTTAACTCTTACATAATTTAATAATTATATGTTTTGTTACGATACTTAGTTGATTTTTTCAGTGTGAAAATTAATAATTGCAGTGTTATTTAACCCCTGTGATCGCTCATTGATTTACTTAATTTTAATTATTTTAATTCTTGATAATTTATCAAAATAAACAATAATAAATAAATAATTAAAAATTTGTATATTATTTACGATATTCTTATTAATTGAAAGGAATTTTTTCGTGTATAGAAATTATTAAACTTTGTAAGAAATAAATATTTCCTGTTATTAAAAATACCAGTTTCTATATATACAAAAGCTTATTATAAATAATAACTTGTTTTAATAGCAATGAAGTGTAACCAATATGTTACAAACAAATTTTAAGGTAAATTAGAACACGGTGTAATTTCACATATTTGATATTTCGTTTATACTTTCAAAGCTAAAAGCGTAATTTGAATAAATTCAAGCAAAGATGAACTTCAAATTTTGACAGCTGAAAACATAAAAATTGTGCTTGAATTTCACGACTGCTGTGATAATTTATAACTTGAACTCGGCGTAATTAGCCGTCTAATTCTAAAGCACATTTTTAAATTTCAATGTTGTTTATAGCTTATAAATTGAGTTGTTGAAATGAAGTTTAACTATTAAAAGCAACTGGTGGCGAATAGAGGTAATAAATTGAAGATTGACAACGATATTTGACAAATAATGTTAAGAGTTAAAGTTGTTGGAGCATTTTGCAAAATTTTTATTCTTTACATTATTTTGTTAATTTTATTACACATTTTTGTTGAATTCATTACTGATTTACTAAATAGTGAATGTCATTATTACTGCCAAAATAATAAAACAAAAAACCTATAGAAATTACGTAGCATTGATTTGACAGAATACATATTTAAATTATACAAGAAAATTATACAAGTTTTCCTTAAAACCCACTATTTGACTTGAAAATTCTCTCAAATACTTGTATTAAATTCAATTTCCTGATTTTTGCTCTTGCTCATTTATTTTTATAACATGGTTGCTATAAAGTATTACCAGTATTTCATATAAGCACCATATGTAAGAAGGCTAAGTTAATTTTGCTATTTCCCACTCGAGTTCCTGAAAAATTTAAAAAGTAATTTTTTTTTTAATTTTTTTTTATTACAAATTGCTTTATTTACAATGTTCTGTACACACGTTCATATGCTTGTGTTTTTTTGGTAATTTTCCAAAATAAATTTGCAATATTTTACCTAAATATTTTACAATTTGGAACAAATTTAATACATACTTATTTATACATACATGGTTTTCATAAAAAATATTTACCTAGTATTAGAAAATTTCGCGACTTAAAACTATTCTTTATTTAAATTTTAGCTTTCTTTAAAAAAATAATAAGGATGAACTAATTTAAATAAAAATAAATTTTCTTTTCTCTATCTCTCTTTCTCTTTCTATTATAAATAAATATAAAAATTAATGACTCGCTTTTCATTGTTTAATTAATACTAATCAAAAATTATAATTAGAACAAAAAACATGAAAAATTTTAAATAAAAATAAAAGAATTAATGAGAATTTGTCAAATGTAAATGTCAAAGGTGCTCATTATTGACAACGTCAACATTGTTGTCAATTATTGCTAATTATCTGTTTACTTTCAATGCAATTGCTTTGACGTTTGTTGTTAATGCGTATACGTTTACGATTTCAATAAAATAATAAGCACCACAGAGTTGTTCAAATTATGTAAAAGTAACTGCAAAGTATAGAAATTTCTAATTCTGATCTTATTTTTCACTTAATTTGAATAAATAAAGCTTAAGTTTTGTTGTTTGTGATGAATGTTTGAAGGAATGAAATTTGTATATAATTTAAGAAATTGGTTCATGTATTAAAGAAATTTTAAAATATAAAATGGCACATTATAGGTAGCACTTCCAACTTTCAATTAAATACAAAAAAAAAAAAAATTAATTAATGGGATTCAATAATATTTGTACGTTCACTGATATCTGCAAATTTATAAGCTGGATTTGACATCCAATCTTCTTTAATCATATCAGCTCCCTTTTCACCAATCATAATAACTGGTGCATTTGTATTACCACTTGTTATTGTTGGCATAATACTAGCATCAATAACTCTTAAACCTCGAACACCATAAACACGTAAACGTGAATCAACAACAGCTTCATTATCCCATGGTGGACCCATTTTAGCTGTACCACATGGATGATATATTGTCATTGATATTGTACGTGCATGACATTCTAAATATTCATCACTTAAAAATTGATAATTTTTACAATTTGTTAATGGTTTTTGATATAATCTTGAACCAAATTGTTGAAAAACTTTTGCTTTTGCAACACGTAATGCAATTTTAGTACCTTCAACAATTGTTTTAATATCAAAAGGATCAGTAAAATAATTTGGATTCATTATTGGTATTTGAAATGGATTTTTTGATTTTAAACGTACCCAACCTCTTGAACGTGGTCTCAATAATAATGGCATTATTGTCCAACTATCTTTATTAGCAATTGGTTTATAAACATCACGATATAATGTTTCTTTTAAACCTAAAACATGTTTAACTCTAGCACCATTATCTGAATTAATTGATGCTGGTGCCATATGAAATTGTATATCTGGCCAATCTAAACTATCATTTGAATAAATTGTATGTACAAATGCTAAACCTTCAACACCGCCTAATGTTGTCATTGGACCACGATTTCTTAATACATATTGAAATGTTAATGCTGGTGCATTAAAACGTTCTTGTACAATAGCAACTGGTTTATCAACAAGAAATGTTAGACCACCAACACCAACATGATCTTGTAAATTTTCACCGACCGGTAAATCTTTTAATACTTTAATACCTAATTCTTCTAAATGTTGACGTGGTCCAATACCAGATAACATCATTATTTGTGGAGTATTTATAGCACCAGCTGATAATATAATTTCTTTTTTAACTTTTATTCTATATGTTTTACCATTTTTAACAAATTTCACTGATTTTGCTCTCATATTATTTAAATCAAAATAGATTTTAGTAACATGTGAATTCATTGAAACATGTAAATTTCGACGTAAACGTATTGGACGTAAAAATGCTTTTGCTGTACTACATCTGCTACCACGTCTAATTGTACCTTGTGCAATCATAAAACCAGTTTGTTTTTGACCATTAATATCACGATTTTCATAACCGATTTCACGACCAGCTTCAACAAATGCTGCTACTAATGGTGTATGCCATGGTGATTCTTGTACAGTTAAATACCCACCACGTCCATGATATGGATTTTTTTCTAAATATGGATTACGATTATCTTCAGATTTTTTAAAATATTTTAATACTTCATTATAACCCCAACCATCGTTACCAAGTGATTCCCAATGTTCATAATCTAAACGATTACCGCGTACATAAAGCATATAATTTAATACGCTAGAACCACCTAATACTTTACCGCGTGGCCAATTACAACGATTATTTTTCATACCAAGGCATGCTTTATTTGTTGGTTCAGTCTTATATTGCCAATCTAATTTACTTAATTGTAAATATGCTGCTAATGATGGTACATCAGAAATTTCATTTTCATCTGGTCCAGCCTCTAAAAGTAAAACATTCCATTTTGGTACTTCAGTTAAACGATTTGCAACAACAGCACCAGCTGAACCACCACCAATTACAATAAAATCATATTCAGCATGAAAAATATTTTGATCGACAACACGTGATTCTGGATCAAAACGATCATAATGATAAAATGATATTGCAGCTAATATTAACGGTATTAACCATAGACCAGTTGTAACAACTCCAAAAGTTGATTTTATCACAGTTGATATTAATAAAAAATTTAAGACCATAATTTTGTGCTTTCGTCTCCCAAATCGATTTTTTTGTTTTCCGTTTTGTATAAAGTTTGTTTTTATAATTTAAAATAATTTAGTTTTTGTACTTTTGTAAAGCATGAAAATTTTTCCAAAATAAATTTCCAAAAATTTATGAATAATAAACAAAAATGAGGAATGGTGAATAATTTGTTGGTGAAATTTTTTCGACAAGTAGAATTTTACTTATCCGAAATAATAAAAGATTAAATAAAAATGGATTACAAATTTTGCAGGGCGGGGGGGCTTCCAATATTTGCTTTCCTTTTAAAAGAGTAATTTGTTTTTTTTTTAGTATCGAGTTTGTATTTTTTTTTCCTTAGTTTTTCCTTTCTTTGTCCTTACTTTCTGTCTACGATTTATTCTCGGCCGTTTCATCGTTTTTTGACATACGGTCATCGTATACTCGGTATTGATTAGTAATTTTGTTTTTGTTCAATAACGGTTAATGCGAAATGTTGAATTTTGTTGGATAGTTGTTTTACTTTTAATTAATTTAAAAGTGAAATTTCCTTTGAAATCTGAAAAGAAATAATAAATAAGAGAAAATTATTATTAATAGTGAAAAGTAAATTGAAAAGTTTCTAACTTAAGTCTTTTGTTAATTTTTTAATTTAATCCTTATGTTGCAGACTTTTTTATATAAATTGCTGGAGTAAAATTTTTCGGCCAGAAACGGTATTATAAGGGATATTCTATGGATAACCACCTGCCATTTAATATAATGGTTATTATTAATTGAAAAGAATTAGAGAAACATATATCATACAGAAATGTTCTTAAACAGGCTTAGTAGTAAAAGGTACAATTTTAAGAAAATACTGGAAATGAAAGTATTATTTTGAGAGGTTAGTAATACAAATAATCTCTGTGATGACTTAATATTTAATGTCGGAAATTTTAAAGCTATTTTGAAAAATAAGGCTCTTTGTCATTATAAAATTACAAATTTTTCTTTAGAAATTCAAAGTCAAATAAAGTAATTTAAAACAAAAATTTCCTAACATTACATGATTTTTTCCCATTTTCCCTCATTTCTATTCCAATATTATGTAATAGGAAAATCGTAATAAATTTCCTCATCGGCATTTTCTTTTTCAATTAAAAATTTTGTTTTATATTTCATTTATAAATTCACGTGCATTCAATTATAAATACACGTGTAAATTTTCTTTCAATTTTAATTTTTAAAATCCAAGAAAAAACAAAAACCTTAAAACAATTGAAGAAAAAAATCAATTTTATTCAAAAACTTGAATATAATTTTGGAAAAAGTGCGTTACTAATTACAAAACATGTTCAAATTTTATTTTATTTTACCTTTTACATCTTGTATTCTAATTTAAATCAATTCTAAATGATTGATTGTTTCATAATAAAATTGAATTGAATTGAATTCGGGTCAATATACTAAATTAACCTAGTTTTTTTTTCAATTTACTCTCTATGTATACGTAGACTAACATACACATATTACCTAATAATCTATTAAATGTGTAATATTAAATTCAAAAATTTCGGAAACACTTAAAAAAATTTTTTCTAAAAATATTCTACCTTGTAAAATATTTACAGCAAACTATATAAAATATACAGTAATAAAAGTGTAATTAAGTATCATTATAGCAGAGAGTGTGTAAATGAGTGTTATATATACCCATGCCAATGCAAGTACAATGACAATCTCTCCGTTTGTAATAGTATAGCTTGAATTCTGCCACTCTTAATAAATATTTTTTCTCAACAAATAATATCAATTCTCAATACAATAAAATTGTGTCTTAAAAATCACTGTCATTTGCCTTCTTCTCTCTCTCTCTGTTTACTATTATCAAATACTTATAATATTAAACTCATTATTATAATTGTTTTCAACAAAATCAAAAAAAAAAAAGAGCGTAACATTATTATAATTGTATTTTGTATTGTGAACAAATACACAAAGAGTTCAAGAACATTTGCTTGCATGCCGCAAAATAAACAATAATATATTATGTGCGTTTAGACCGCATACTTACATTTATAATATTCGCATAAAAATAGCAAACTCTTTTTTTTTTAATTTTGTATTTTTTTTTTATCGCCTTGGCCCACTATCAATTTAATCGGTTTAACTACTGCTACTACCATTTTGTTTTTTGTTATAAGCTCATATGGTTTGCGGAAAAATAAATAATTTTCTATTTATCATGCAATTTATTCTTTTAATATGCTCAAAAATTAAATTCTATTTGCAAAATTCTCCCATTATTCCGTTATAAAAATTACAAGCACTATCTAAAATTTTTTATAAATTTTTTATTTATTATATCTGAAATTTTGTTTTATTTTTGTATTATTTTTAATTGATCTTGATTCTATTTCTAGTTCAGTATGTGAAGTTCATTAGCGTTTTCTTTAAATAGCAGGTTTTAAGAGTATATGCCCTTCTATCTACTAATCGTTTACCTATATTTTTTGTTTTTGATTTTCTTTGAAATGAAAATAAATTTTTTAACACACCTATCTTTTTATTATTTTTTATTATTATAACTATTAAATAGTCGTAATTAACAAAAATTCATCAAGTACCTCTTTAAATGGTTGAAAAACAAGAAAAGAGCAAAAAATAATCATAATCATTCAAAATAGTTTAAAATGTATTTCCAATCTATTATTTTTGGGGGTATGTGCATGTGTTTGCATGTGTGCATGTTAGTCTATATAATTTACTATTTTAGTAAATTTGATTTTCTGCAAAAATTTCCGAAAAAGTAAAAAAAAAATTTATTACTTGGAATAACCAAATTGTTACCAATATTGTGAATGATTGTATCTTATATAATAATCGATATACATATTGTATATTAGTGTATATAAAATATGTATCACACCATTTTTTAAAAATTTAACAACTCAAATAATATCATTTTGTAGTTCAACATAAAAAAACTTTGAAAAATTATGATAAGAACGACACCTAAAATTGTTCATGCAATTTGTTTGATTAGATCAACATTTAATACAAGTTTGATATATATATCATATTTCCGACATCAAACATTTTTCATGATTCATACATTTGGCATGATGAAAATTTGATATTTCGCTTGAATATCGAACATTTTTTATAAATTCTCTTTTGATTTAAGAAAAATTTTTATGAAAGTTTTATTTAAACATTTCGTTGAATCAAACATTTGTTGATTTTGTTTGATTGAAAAAATAGAATGCCATCCAACAAAAAATCAATATGTTATGTATCAAACAAAAAATGTTTGATGACAAAATCTTGCCTCAAACAATAATCATATTTTTTATTTTAAGCATTGGCCGTGAGGGATTAGAAAATATAGTTACTATAAGATTAGTGTGTGGCATGATTTAAAGTAACACAGGCTCCTTTATGTTATTGACCATTCTGGGTTGATATTTATATAAGAGGCATATTTTATTTTATTTCTAAACGATAAATAAAAGTTTTTATCCTGAAAATTTGTATATTGCGAGATGTTGAATTTTTGAAGTAGTTGAGCAACAATAAAGTCTTAGTCTTAAAATAATTTCGAAAAGTATTTTGTGAACGAAAATTTTTGAAGATACCAATCATTCATAATAAATTAGGCATAAATACTAATACTAATATGCTTTCCGTATAGCAATGACCCAAAAACCCACGTGATACATCTAATATTTTTGACTTTTTTCTTTTTTCTATAATAATCTACATGAGTGTTTATAAAATGCTGTTTTTTTTTGGTATTTATTTTTTATTTTGATTTTCAATTTTTCCTCTAACAAAATAATAAAAAATTAAAGGCAATTTAATACATCAATTATGCACACCGAGTGTATTCACAGCACTTCTTCTTTTACAAACAAAAAAAAAAATAACAAAATATTTAAAATTTGACCGTGTGTGGTGATGTTCGTATTTTTTAATTGATTTGAATTGAGTTTGAATTAAATTGAAAGTTCAAAGAAGAAAGAATAATTAAAGAGTGTTTTAATATTATAAAATTGATTCTGTTAATTTTGAGATTCTCTCTTATTTAGAGAATTTTGAATTGTTACAAAATGTTTGAGGAGAGGTGTATGGTAAATGTCATAATTGTGACAGAGAAAATATATTACAGATTAATTTCCATTATTATTTTAAGAGAGTATTTTAAGTAATAAGCTTTTTAAGAGAGTATTTTAAGTAATAAGCTTTTAAATCTCTAATCTCCTTATAATTTTAAAGAATAGTCTTTAATTAAAAATAGAATTTATTACTTATATATATCAACATTTCAAATGGAATAACAAATTAATTATACTTATCAAATGTATACTATTATTTTTACTATTATTTTATATGCAATAAATGTAAAAGAAGAGATGTAAAAGAAGAGATTGAAAATTCAAAATCTATATTGTGAATTTTATACATTTTATAATTCATTTTTAATTATAATTTAAAGGTAATCAAAAATTAGCTAACATAAATAAATACAACAGCTTAATTATAAGTTTTACACAAAACAAAAATGGCTACTTTTACATTATGTTTTTTAAACTAATTGTTGTTAAAAACATGCATCATATAACGTGTAGTTATTATTCAGGTGCATTCCACCTTGACTTGCTATTACCATGTAATCATTAATAGTTGCAATCACTATGTTTTCTCTGCTAATTTGATTTTTAATAATAATGTATAATGTGCGTAATTACAAAATAAACTTTATGTTATTAATAAAAATTTTGGTATAATTAATTAATTTTTTAATAATTTTTAACGCAAATAATGTTAATAAGCATGTTTTTTAAAATAATTGAAAATATTCAATTAAATTTATTTAATAAGTACATGATTTTATTTATTTTTTGTTATTTAATATAATAATTAAATATATGTGTCTTTTTCTTCGTCTGCTTATCCACTATTGTGGATGTGTACTGGTTACCCGATTGTTTGTAGGACAGTCCATTGACTGATGTTTCCCAGCAACGACATTTGTTTTCCTCCAACACGCCTTTTGCCTTCTATTTTACCTTGCAGGATTGATTGCAGAATATGATGTAATATGTGTGAACTTAGTTTTAATATGATATGCAAAAAAAAATCTGCATTTAAGACTGAATTATTAGATCTACTTATTCAAGAGTAATTGACCGAAATGAAACAGAATGAGATGTGTAAAAATTTGTCAATGCAATAACTTTTTATGTATTCCTAATTTCTGAATATTTATTAAGAGCTGCACTATTTAAAAAAATATTGAATTTTTTTTTTCAAATTTTTAATTTTTTAAAAAAATTTTACTATTAATTTTCTATTGAAATTTTTTTCAAAAAATTTTTCATTAACATTTCAATTAAATTTCAAATATACTTCAATTCAAATATCATTAAGTTTTAGGTCACCTTCATCACATCAAATTACACTACAAAATATAGAATGAATGCAAGTAATTTTTTCTTTAAATTTACAAAATTAATTTCAAGGAATTTAAAATTAAAATATAATTATTATAATATTTTGGTTTAAACATTTTTA